GCAATAATGAGTTGTGTGTTTGAGAGCCCGAACGCATCTTGACCGTGGTTTTCCACTTACTATTATGAAAATTTTGATTCATTGTTCTAAACCATACGGAAATGACAACGTTAATGGATGATGGTTGTTAATTACTCACACCTGATGCAAATATCTCTAATCTAGTTTTTTAAACGAAATGATTTTTTTTCACATCCTTCGAACGATATGAACTGCAATAACTCCGGTTGTAGAAGCGTTACAAAAGTTCCCATCACTTTTCTGTTCCGCAAGAACAAAGAAAGCTATAACAGTGTAGTGCAGTGCAGTACAGTACAGGGTAACCGATCTACTCTAACATTTTTGAATCCGTTTGCATAGGTCTTGCCCGCGGGCTCAATGGCTTATCTATCTCTCCTTTCGGTCTTCTCTAACCACTGTTGAAAACATTTCCGGTTTTATTACTCACTGTCTCAATTTTTTCCCCGTACCAATACGGTTACCTCGCGGATCTGTTTCGTCCACCATACAGCACCACTACTTCTCCCATCCCAAACCCTGTTTCCCGCCATTGATCTTTTTATTTACAACACAAAAATCGATCATGCTTCATCTAACTAATGACAATATCATTGAACTGCGAGTTGATTGTTTTTTTTTCAAAAATAAATTTTTCCTCTGAAAAAGGTTCGAAAAAGGACTAATTTCCTCATCGATGGTTTTTCCTGTCCCTCGAAACTGTGCAAATCCTTTATGCGTCCACCATTTAACACTGGATTGATGACATCGGGCGGTCTTTTCTCGTGCTTCCCACATTTGTCAATAACAAAACCGGTGTGTTGTCACTGTTAGCGCTAAGATGCGTACGTAGTTGAACTGATTTCGTGATTGTACTTAAGTATCCATATGGAGTTCTGTGTGGATGCAAAGATTTTGCCGTTTTCTTGTTTAACCACCAGTTGTTTACTCCCGTTCAGCTTGCAGATGATTGTGGATGCTGACCTTATTCATTCCTTTTGGCCTCCTCTTCGCCGTCTTCAGTCCCCCAATGGTCCACAGTCACACGCAAATCAAAACAGAGCTTGTGGGGATCTGTCGGTGATGCGGGCCACTAATGCACTAAGGTCACCCACGTGCTCTCGCGTGATCTGTAAACATAATCAATGGCCTAAGTGTACGAGAATACACTGGATGTTGTTGATTTGTCCACATTAGTCTGGCAGATCGTGGTGTACACATGCCTCTGCGATTGTGTACCTCTAAACCACCTCACCCGATGCTTACCAGTCTAAGGGAGGCGAGCACTCCAGTGCTCCAGTGTGACACAAACATGAAGTATCTACTCTGGATATTGTTCTCAGAAAGTAATAACAACAACAACAGAACAAAAAGATATGTTCATCTGATTAAGTTTCCCCACCATTCCTTTGACCACTTGTACTGCTTTGTCATTGTGGACAAAAAGCGCAGGGCTGAAGGCGGTCAGTTGATCTGATGTTCGGGTGGACATTAAGCCGAACTCAAGAGTTTCCCGGTGTATCAATCCTCGCAGACTGTTGATATTCGATGATAACCATCTATCTTTGGACTGTCGCACAGATTGATTTGAACGGAACCGGATGAAACACAAACATTGGGTACTCGGTGTCAAGCGATACTCGAGTGGTATAATTCCTAACCAACAAATCGGGATTCTGTGCGCGACTATGTTGCTCAAATTCTTGGCTTAATAATCATCGCTTATAATGTTTACCATTGTCAGTTCGGTTCAGTGTAACCAATCTATGGTTATATGGCATGATAACATAAAAGAATGGAGCTTTCTGAACGAGAGATCCAAGCACGCCTCGTAGTTGATAACGTGAGCTGGATCTAGGGAATAGTGATACTCCTTTGGCTGTCTAGTTGCCTTTTCCTCCGAATTTTCATTTCTTTTAAATTCATCTGACAAATTCATTGTCAAATGGTCTATACAACTTCCCTTATCGACTTTTCTGAGTTGACGCATCTAATGACTGTCGTTCTTCACATGACCAACCATTCAAAATGTCTTGCGTCGGTAGTTTACCTCCGTATTAGACTTGGCTAAATGATAAACTAAAGTATTCTTTTTGGTGAAATTACTGCTGTGAAAACTAAGACGGTCGGTTGTTATGACAACCATTCAACGATAGAGTGTTCACATAGCGGATACAATTTGGGCGGACACAGCACCAACGAAACCTGAGTCACGTGATAGTGATAGTAGCATTGGTAATAAATGAATCAGCAATTTGGTTCCTGTCATTGAATATTACAAATGTAAAAAGGAGGCCCTCGCCA